TTGACGAAAATACCCTTGGACGTTAGTTGTGTAATGCGGTTTAAGTGTAGCTTTGGGTTAATATTATTAAATCCTAATTGTTTGGAACCAATTAGGATTAACTTATGGTACTTTTTGGTGGTTGACCAATCCTAGGCCATATACACACACTCTCTCTATTCTCTCTCATGTACCCTCTCGTCTTTCTCGGACTCTCACTCTCTCTCTCCTTCGAACTCATACGGACAAACATCCAAAGCCCTTGAAACTTCACGGATCGAAGCTTTAAAGGTAAGGTTCTTACTCATTGTAACCTCCTGAGTAAATTGATACCCTTGTTTGGACGTGAATGCTTCGAAAACTCGAGAAAACCCTAACCCCGATTTTGTGCACTGTTCATGTACACATAAAACCTTGTGTTTCAGGGAATTCTAAGGACATAGGAAACTTAAGGAGGTCCTCATGAGTCTAGGGGTACTTCGTTGGAAAGATTTGGACGTCGGAGGACTGAGATCGATGTGTTTCTAGGTAAGCCGAGCTATCGACCTTTCTCAAGAAAAATCTAGTAGAATTTAAGCCTTGAAACTTGTATAACGTGATTCTACATGTTATTAGCTTCATTTTGGTACCAACTTCATGAAAAATGGTTGAAAAATGAGTGAGAATAATGGGTTTAAAGTTTTACCTAGCTTTCCGGCGACCGGCGACTCGCCGGAGAAGATGACGGCATATTCCGTCAGTTTGGACGGAATATGCTAATGCCGTTAGTCAATTTTAACAGAATCTGTTAGGTTTAACGGAATATTCCCTAACGGTGGTTAGGGAATCCGTCAGGTTTGGCCGCGCTTGGGGGCACATTTTGCCGTGCCCTTGCCGGCACGTGGCGGCGCGTAGGAGCTCGAAAAATTTATCTAAAACTTTGGGGATGATCCTGAGGTTGTGTAGATCACTGTGGTATATTCATATACCCAATTTGAGCAATGTATGAGAAGTTATTAGCTAGTTTTACCTATGTGCTTTAAAATAACGTTTTTATAGTTAATTCGCATATACGTGAGACTTATCCCGAGGACGAGCGTATTCACGGGCGACTCGGGTGCTACGGCCCTTCAACATACCAGTGAGTGGGCTTTTGTTTTTAGTATATATTTATATACTTGATATATTTCCCAGAAATGCATTTTTAAGGAAAGTATGCTTTGAAATAATATGCCAAATGCTTTTATATTTTGAATATGCATTTCATGGTTGTATATATATATATGTGGTGCTGTGGAGGCACAGGTAAGTTCAGGTAAGTTACGTTTGGTTATGTGACTCATCAATGATGTGATATGTGAAATGATGTTGAGCTCATAAAACTGCACCTAGGGTTATTGAGATTTAGCCAGAGATATAAAGTACAGGCCTGTTTATTGACGTCACCTCCCGCACTATATGCTCATATTGGATCCAACTTAAGTGCACAGTCTTGTCGTATAGACCTTATTCATGGTTCCGACTCGTAGGTGACTAGCGATTTATCGCCCGGCTATTATGAGAGAATAGAGTTGAGCATAATTATATTTCACCCAATCTTGTCGTACCGACCCCTTTTTAGTGGTTGCAACCTATGTGCAGTATATTGCCGTATAGGTCATTATAGTGACTCCAGCTAGATTGACTTTTGAGCTATGAATTCAACCGTACAGACTACCTCAGGGGTTCCGACTAAGATATCATATTTCTATGAAATCATTCTTACCTGGATTGTCAACTTTGTTATATTTTGGCATGGCATACATATGAATATGATTATGTGAAGCATGAATTGAATTGTTATGATTTCAGATATATATATATATATATATATATATATATATATATATATATATATATATATATATATATATATATATATATATATTGGCATGGCATACATATGAATATGCTTATATCTTAATTCAGGGAAAATTTTACATGTTTTACAGCAAGGGGTTAGTATGTTGATAAATAAAATGGTTTTGTAAAACATTTGTTTTTGCCCACTCACGTTTTCTGTTTTGCGCCCCTCCAGGTTTTAAGTAAGCTTGTCGTTGGTGGCTTGAGGACGTCGACAGTTCTAACTTATCTAAATAATAGTAGGACATTACTGGTACTGTATAACTAGTACTTGTCCTACTGGACTGCACCTAGACTTTATGCTCTGATTAGGAGTGTTCACTGTTGTAACTAACTCCTATCACTTTCTATTTAGTAGTGCACTTTAGTAATTTGGTTTTTAATTATTCGTATATTTCTTATCTTTATTGCTTCCGCACTGTGCACATGGCTACGTCACTCTCACGTGATGGCCAGCATGCCTTGATCTGGGTCGGGGTGTGTCATATATATTTATTTTAGTTTTTAGGGGTATAAAATTCTTAAATTAATATATATATATAATTATTATAGTATTTTTTTAGGGTTATAAAATTAATATTCTGCTTATCGTGTATCGTGTTACCCACGTGTATACCCGAATCAATCCGTTATCTTGACAGGTGCTTATCTGGTTTCCTGATAACGGCTCGAACACCTGTTAATTTCGTGTCGTGTCGTGTCATGTCGTGTCAGGTTATCGGGTCGTGTTAGGAATTGCCAAGCCTACTTCCACCCCCTTAATTCACCCAATTTCATACCCTTTAGTTTGTTTCTGCAAGTTTGTTTGTTTAAATCTTAAATTCGTCAAAACAACCCCCATTTAGTATTCTGAGTCTTTTTAATTTAATTTTCGTTCAAACTTCCCTTTAGTTCCTGTTTCGAGTCAATTTAACTTAGTTTGTGTGTTTTGATCTTTCCAATGCTCATTTTTTGGGGCCTACTAACATATTGAATGTGTTTATTTGCTTAAATTTCAAAGTGTCCAAAATGCATGCTCCTTTACTCTCATAAATGCATAAACAGTCTAAAAGCACTCTAAAAATATTAAAAAAAAAAGAGTCTACAAATGAGACCCAATAATCTTTTGAACACTTTCTCATTATTAGGGGTCTAGTAACACATTGAATGTGTTTATTTGCTTAAATTCCAGAGGAATGCTAGGGAGACTCAAAGTGAAACTCTCCATGGATTTTCTATCACCTCACACTTCAACGTCAATTCTGTGTCAACATTATAAAATTGTGTGCAAAACATAAGGTGGTAGAGAATCCATGGATAGTCCTACTTTTAAGAGTCTCCTTATGCCACCTCCAATCGAAGGGGTTATGTTTAGCCCCCCTTCAGATTATAGGTATGCAAGAAATTATTTTTTTTTAATGAAACAATGTCATGCCCTATTTGTATACCATCTCTAACCGAAGGGGGCTATTTTTTAGCCCCCTCAATAATTTATTATTTTTAAGTTTGTTCTTTAACTTTATTGGTTAATTGAATTAAATTACCATATTTATAAATAAGTAACTCTCCATATTTCTTATTTTTATGTAATCTTAATAATTTTTCGGAATGCTAGGTTAATTTTAGGGCTGGAAAAAAATCCCAAAAATCTCGAACCATACCAAAAAAATCCCGATCCCAAACCGAAAAAATACCGAACCGAAAATCCCAAAAATTTTGGTACCAATCCCAAACCAATCCCAACCATTCGGTACCGGAATCGGTCTCATATTTTTCTTTGTTCAGGAATACACACACACACACACACACACACACATATATATATATATATATATATATATATATATATTATTTAATTAACCATTCCTCTGCCCAATAACCTTTGGGAATCCGAACCGATATATACATATATATTATTTAATCAACCATTCCTCTGCCCGATAACTTTAATCAACCATTTCTTTGCCTGATAACCTTCTTCACTGCCTTTTCCTTTTTTTTATTCTTTCTTTATCTCATGACTTATTGTCTACTATCTTCACTAACCTTTCTTCTTTATTTTATTTCTTGATAACTAGCACTCTCATCCCACAGACAGCCACACACTCTCTCTCTCTCTCTCTCCATCCACTGACTCCCTCAAATGCAGAAGCAAGCTTAAGGCCTCTAAATGCTTTCTCAATCTTCAAAAGCAGCCACACCTGCAGCCAGCTCTTCCCAAAACGCCATACCCATTGCAGCATTCGTCTGAGGAACCCAATTGTTCTTCCAAGACATCAGATCCATTGCTCAAGCCTGCAAAGTAGAGTAGCCCTCTGATGGCGATTTCGTTTGGCAAGACATGGAAAAGCTCACAGATCGACAATGGTCGATACCTGATTATGTTCGATGCACTTTGCAAAGCCCTCCAACTCTCGAAGGTAGCAAAGACAAGCCTAGGAATGAAAGGGATGGAGATGGGTGTGGGAAGGTCGACGAATCTAAGATGAGGTGTGGCCGTGTGGGTTGGTAAGGAAGGTGGGAGGTCGATGAATCCCGAACCATACCAAATCCCGAAAAAATTTCGAGAATCCTGAAATTCAGGAATACCTTCATTTCAGTTCGGTTTTGGTTTTCAAAACTTTGTCCTGAAAAAAATCGGTTTGGCCTTTGGGATCCCATTTTCGGTTTGGGATCCCATACCGAACCAGCCCTAGTTAATTTTGCTTCAAAAAAAATTATTAATTAATTAATTTTTCAAATAGGAGTTTAAAGAATGCGAATAATTGAAATAAAATGAGGTAAAATAGTATGAAAAGATGAAAAAGATGTAAGAAATGGTTTAGAAATGGCTTTTATAAATGTCTCAAATAAATAAAATAAATTCAAATCTAGCGGCTAGCTGACATCAGCTAGCATGTGGATTGCTGACAATTAAGCCCAACTTTTCGGGTTGGCTGACTAGCTAAGGATGACCAGCTCGCTGGCCATATGGCTAGATTTTGACCTAGTGAATCCCAAATTTTTTTTGGCCCAACCCTCTATTAGAGATGAATTTTGTGTCATAAAAGATCATATTTTGACCTACTACGCTTCGGTCAGATTGGATATGGCCTTCGCATTTCTCTAAATTTTATAGTGTCCAAAATGCATGCTTTTTCATCCCATGAACTCATTTATATGGTTTTCCGTGAGGTATTTCTCCATTGGCCAAACTAGAGAAAGACGCTTTCTAACTTGGAATTTAACATCAGTCTTGTACATGTATCATATATAGGGGTGAGAATTCAGAAACCTTACATTTATATATGTCTTTATCATTAAAAATCTGCGACTTCAGTTTGATCGAAATAGCAGCCGGAAGGGCCTCCATGGGGTAGAAGAGCCAACTTGACCGGACCGGCAGCCCCTTCTTCGACAGTCATGGTCCCTGTATGGCAATTGAGGTCTGTATTAACAAAGCCTGGATGCACACAGTTGATGCACATGTTTGGGTACTTGTTGGCAAGGATTCTAGTGTAGGCATTGAGGGTGGCTTTGGAAATGCTATATGCAGGTAACATCATTGTCCATCCATTCACTTCGAGTTCGTTTTGTTTAAAATCATGCAGAAATCTTGTCAAAACTGCATCCACTTTCTCCTCTGTCAGTGCTTCTACATCCCCGAGCTCATTTCGGATCTCTTCACTTGGTATCCTCTGCATGGAATTTGATAACTTTGATTAGGAAATATAAATTTTTTTCTTCATCATGTGTTGCTAGCTAGGACTTGGAAGGAGATTATATCAATTGAGGGTTATTTTCCAGCAGCAACAAGTTAAGGAGAGAAGAAAGACTATTTGTCGATGGATGAAACATATGATATCAAGGAAATTATCTCTTGCTAGACTCGTCTAGCTAATGAACATAAACCTTTGTTAGTTAATTTTTGTTTCATTGTGTATTTTTACCTTGAGTTCACTCCTCAGGGAGGAGACATTGACAATTCTTGCTCCTAGAGTGGAGAGTTGCAAGAGTGGGAGAAGTGCCTCGGTTAATCTTTTAACCCCGTAGTAATTTGTATTCAAGCATTCCTCAGCCTTCTCATAAGTGTATTTAATTGCACCTTGAATTTGGTTCACCGCTTTCTCTGAAAGCTAAACAAACACAACTCCTTGTTAAAAAGCTGCTGCGAATCTTGGTTGTGGCATGGCTAGGTATAATTGTAAGAAGGCCTACACCTCAAGACGTCACTGTGATATCTTAAACTAATAACAGAACTTCATGTATTTTAAGTATACCATATGGTGTTGCGTAATTGGTTTGAGACTCCGCTTTGGCGTCCTTGTTTTACGTAAGTGCTTCTCGTGAGAAAGGAGAAATCCATAACTTACCCAAGTTTTGGAGTCAATGTTTAGGGATTTTAAAACTTTCTCATCCAACAGTGCTCCAGTAGCTCCAGCATTATTAACCTGCAGAAATCAAATGGTCAATTTTTCACACAACATTTTGGAGTCCAACAAATATTATCACTGTGTTTGTACATAGGAAATGTACCGATTTGCCTAATAAGGCTACTAAAACAAGTTTGGGGCACAATATTTTTTGAAAAATGATATCTACACGTTTCTTTTTTAAATGCTGAATTTAAACAACTAACAAATAAAGTAATCTTTACACGGCTATCACAAGAGTACAAGCAAACAATACAAATATGTCACAAAAATGGTAGACGCGACGGATCTGACAATGGATGCACATGTAAATCATCACTACAACAATGAGGCCATGTCAAACTATCGCTAAAACAGCAAGGTCATATCAACTCACCGAAGCGAGACATTGATACCAACCAATTGGCATCCTCGATCGAGCGTGGCAGTTCAATTTAACCTTCGTTTTTTCAATAATTTTCAAGGGGTAAAATGAATTTGTCATTAAATATAACAAAATCCCGAATAGGAGAGAGAAAATTTTGGCCTTACCAAGATATCAAGCCTGCCAAATCTGGCGTGTATGAACTTGGCCAGGGAGTGGATGCTAACTGGATTCAAGACATCAAGTTGATGGAAGACAACATTTGACAGACCCAACTTGTGGAGCTTTGATGTTGCTTCTCTTCCCCTCTTCTCATCCCTGGCCGTCAACACCACCAGCACCCCTTGAGATGCAAGCTGCCTCACCACCTCCAAGCCAATACCCTTGTTTGCACCGCTAACTACTGCACACCTGCTGTAACGCAACCACCATCAAAATTTAGACACTATTCACTTAACCATTTCGTTTCTAGGTTTTAGTTTAAGAAAGTAGTTATTAAACGAGTTTTCAGTTTTCAATAAAAAGTGAAAACAAAGATTATAAATGTACCTCTCTGTCTCTGCTCCATCTCCTTGATTGCTTCCCATTCTTGTATAATGCTTGGATTTGCTTTGTGATCTTATTTTCTTCCTGAAACTGTGGAGCACAACAGGTTGAATGTTCTCTGCAGCTCCACTCGAATCAAGTTCTAATTCTTTCTCAGCCAAAAACCAAAATCCAAAAGCAATTTCCTTTTTCTTTCATATTTGTACATATAGTGGTTGAGGTTTTTTATTTTGACAAGTTGTAGCTGTTGGAGTCACATACATTGAAAGTGAGTGGTGTATACTAACTATATCACTTGATTTTATACTCCAATAGTTGATGAGTTGATTAATGTTTGATATAATATTATAGTCTATAAAACCAACCCTATAGTAAGGGGTCTTTTTCTGTAGTAGGTGGCATTGTGGTACGAAAAATGAATGATTGAGACTGAAATAAAAAAACTTAATAATTGTGGAAATCATATCTAACAACTAAAACACCCGTAAAACTGAAGGCAACTGATTTCCGTAGGTTTATATTCCCGAGTGGAAAGTGGAAGAACAAAAACACTGCCAAACATGCACATCAGATAAGAACAAAGCACAGCAACCAAACATGGACATAAGAACAAAAGACTGCCAAGTTTCAACTTAATCATTGAAATTAAAGGGACCTCCCCGCTTTTACACGCTTTCTACTCTTTGGAATCCAAAACAAAATAGTAAAAGCAAAATTACCCACCCACTAATCTGGTTTTATTTTCACGCATATCAGAAAATATCAGCAAAAAAATTATCTGAAAACACCACTCCAACAACCCACCAACCCACCAACCCCTTCTCCGCCCCTCTCCGCCTTCCAGTGCACTCCCACCCCACCAACCATTTCTCCGCCCTCCAGTGCGCTACATCAATAACACAAATTCCTAGAACCAAGACATAAATAGACAAGATGCAAAAATATAGAGACAGGGAATACGTTATTGATTCGAGTTCTTGATGCGCAACGGCCAGGAGAAGTCAGCGAGGTGTGAGAGTGAGACGGCGAGTGGCAGCGACAGCGAATGCATGAGCGACAGCGAGTTCCTCCTCGGTTAACTTTGGATCTTTCGATTCTTCGAAGAAGACAAGACTGAGAGAGAGAGAGAGAGAGAGAGAGAGGGGACCGGACTTCGTGAAGGAGTCAATTAATGTATATCGCAAACCAACGTCGTTTTGCAATCCTTCAATTCGATTTGGTTTCTAACCACTGAAACAGAATCCGAACCGACAAATGTCAGTTCTGTTTTGGTCTTTCAAATTCGGCTCGATTTTTTTTTTTTGGTTTAGGTATTTTCGGTTTCAGCTCGGTTTTCAATTCTTTTTTTCGAACCCATCATTAGAATTGAATGTGAGATATCTCATTTACAAATAAAAGAAATACTACTAAATTATAGTACTAATTAATGGTACATTAAGACCTTCAATTGAAAATATATTTGGTGTATGTTCAAGTATTATTTATGATAAGAAGCTTTTGTCAATCTTTGTTTAACATTGTTCATGTTCACCATTTTTATCCCTAATATAAAAATAAATCAAGATATTGTCACTTAATACTACAGTCTAGTAGTATTCCTCTTCACTTATAAGTGATAGGCCTTAGGTTCAATTTTCGCAAAAGGAAAATTTGAACCACATTATTGCAAGCATATTTTGAGGCTTAGCCCATTTCCCTACCTCCTTAGACTATCTCCAACCTTTAGGTTAAAACCTAAAATTTTTAACCCAAAAAATTTAGGTTTTAACTTAGAAACAATTTTTCTCTTCCAACCCTTATGGGTTAAATTTTTAGTTGAGATTATTAAAGAATGAATTTAGGAGATTTTTTTTCTCACAGCCCGTCCCGAGATTTTCTATCGGGGACGTGAATTGACGGATTTACCCTTGATGTTATAAGGTATGTGTGTGTAACGTTATTTGGTTTAAATTATTATAAGTTTTGGGGATAGAGAAAATTGGTTTACATTTTGTTTGTATGGTTAGGATGAAAATGGATGGTGTGGATTAGATTGGACCACACACAGGACCTCTCTCCCTCTCTCCTTCCCTGTGTCTTCTCTGTCTCTCTCCCTCACGACCCTCTATCTCTCTCTCTCACCCAAAACGTACGGCCTCACCCAAAATCACCCAAAAACGCAGTGGATCGAAGCAACCAAGGTAAGAATCTTCATCCTTGAGATGTTTTAAGTCGATTGTTACTAGTTTTAGGACGTGAAACCCTCGGAATCACGTGAAACCCGAACCTCCATTTTTGGTCACTGTTCATGCAAACGTAAAATGTTGATTTTCAGGGAATTCTAAGCTTGTAGTGAGCTTTGTGAGGTCCCAAGGAAGCTCGGAGTGCTTCGTTTGAAGGTTTTGGACGTCGGGATCACGTGGTTCAACTTTGGCCGATTTTCTTGGGATTTTTCCGGTGAGATTTCTTGATTTTTAGAGCCTTAAACTAGTCTATCGTGATTCTACGTGTTTGGGGCTTCAATTTGGTATAAAATACGAAGAAATTGGTTGAGAAACGAAGGAGAACAAGGAGGTCAAAGTTTGGCCGGAAATCGGCCGCCGGAAAAACCAGTCCGGCGACTGGCTGAGGAAGAAGATGTGCGTGGGGGGCGCATGGACCCGTGCCACCCACGGCGCGTGAGGGAGCGTGGGACCTCCAAAAAATTTTCTAAAAATTTCTCGACGTCCGTGACGTCGAGTAGGTCGATGTGGTATATTCATATACCCAAATTGAGCATCGTATGAGAAGTTATTTCGAATTATTGGTTATGTGTTTAAATTAACGTTTTTATAGTTGTTTCGCATATAGGTGACATCTATCCCGAGGACGAGCGCATCCAGGGACGTCACGGGGGTTACGACCCATCGACTTATCAGTGAGTGGGCAGTTTTGATTTCGTATTACCTATATACAACTGTTTTTCCCAGAAAATGCATTTATATGAAAATTATGATTTAAATTGCCATGCATGCAAATGTTGAGATATTTGAATTGAGAATTGATGCATATATATGTGAATTGACGCGGTGGACGCACAGGTGAGTTTTATTATTATTCAGATGAGTTATTTTATATGAATTACATTGAAAGCTCATAACCTGCACTTAGGTGTAGTGCTTATATTGTTATTCACCACACCGCACGCTCGCCTTGGATCCAAGTAGGTGGATGTCGTACAGACCATGTGAGGGTTCCGACATGCTAGTCGTACAGATCACTAGATGTGATTCCGACTAGTGGGTGACCTTAGTTATGCGCGCTGATGATTGTTGAGAAAAGCACTAGAGCGTATTTATACACCTATCATCGTACAGACTACTATACGTAGTTCCGAGTGATGTGCAGTGTAGTGCCATACAGGTCACAGTTGGTGACTCCGGCAGGGTCGTATAGGTCACTGTGGTGACTCCGGCTGAGTGGGATGTTGAGCTTTAGAATCAGCCGTACAGGACCATTGTAGGGTCTCCGGTTGATTTATTATTTCACCTGATTGATATTGATGCATTCTGATTATATTTTGGGCATGGCATATCATCTCTGAGATGTTATTATGATGGATTGTGATTTGAGCTCTTGATGATATATATATGTGTTATATACTATTTTTCTGGGAAAGTATACAGGTTTTACGGTGAGGGGTTAGAAATATTTTTAACGAAATGTTTTGGAAAATCTTTAGTTTTACTGACCCACTCATTTTGTTTTGCGCCCCTCCAGGTTCTAGTTAGCAGTTGGTGGCTCTCAAGGTCTTTTTCCGGCATTCTGACAGACACTTAACATGTAGGACTCACCTGAGGGTGATGTACTTTTATTTTTGTCCTACTTGACTGCACTTAAACCTATGCTCTGAATTTATGTGTTTATCTTAACTCGTCCTGTCATTCTAGTAGGTTGTTCTGCTATAGTTGGTTTGAATTCCTTCTTATGTATGCTGTTGTTTCGCTTCCGTGTCGCACTTATGGTTACGTCACGCTCACGTGACAGCCAGCACGCCTGGATCCTCTGGATCGAGGTGTGTCAGTTTGGTATCAGAGCCTAGGTTGCAGTCCTGTATAATTGTTAATGCTTTAATGATCTTTTGATGTTTTCTGTCAAAATTATGCTGCCTCGTAGAGAGCGTAGGGAGTCCCGCCGTACTCCTGATCCTAATTTTCCTGATATCGTTTAGTTAGGGGAAGCAATGGCTCAGGCTTTTCAAAATGTGATTCGTCCTCCTCCCCCACCTCAGAGGACACCCCTGGAGACCATGTATAATTTGAAATTGGATCGCTTTATGGGTGATGAAGGTCACGAGGGGGCAGAGAAATGGCTAGATCATATTGAAAAGACGTTTCAGGTGATGCAAAGTCAGGGGAATTTTCCGACTGATAGGTGGGTTGAGACCACTACCTGGTTTGTGGGTCGAGAGCCGACAGGTTGGTGGAGGAATTGATGCGAGAATTACTTGACACACAAATTAAACCCTCTTTTTGACAATTGTAGCAAAGTATGTAAGTAGGGATCGTTCTAAACCGGGGATTAGGAGGGCTTGCTAAAACCTCTAAACTGACTCAAAAACAAAAAGAAACAAAGTTAAAAATGTAAACAAAAGATTTTAAAACAAGAAAGTAAAAGGGGGATTTGAGTTTGGTGAAGTTGAAAGTAAAAACGAATAAACTAAAAACTTAAATAGATTTTAAACAAATTTGGGTTGAATGGATAATGGAAGGCTAGCTAAGGGGTTCTTCTCCACACATGTCTTGCTTGCCTACAAAATGATTTCCAATTGCTCTTCGATAAGTTATGAATACTCAACGCCCCAAATTAACCGTGAATTGCACTAATTAACTCTCAGTTTTTCAACAAGTTATTAGATTGGATGATTGCATACGACAACCCAAAACATTCCCTACAAGTTCCCTACATGAATTGCATAATAGAGATACAAGCAAGAATCATTAAGTTCTATGAAAAACATAAGCATTGACGAGGCACTCGTTACTATGATTTGCATGAAACTTATGCCAAGAATTTACTTAACGTGATTGTGACTAGCAACCTTCACTACTTGTGAATATAAGTTCATAACGATTAGGTGAAACTCCCTTATATTCTAGCGTCAAATTCATGCATGAAAATTAAGCGTGCACTCTCAACCAACATACACAAATTAGTTTTTTATACGAACGGATAAGTAAATTGAATTCACAATTCAAGAAACGCAATTGGAAGTAATCAAATCATATAGCAAGCATAAACATGGTTTTGAATCCCCCCTAGCCAAGGGGGGTTTAGTTCCTCATTATTACAAAACAAAAGATAAAGAAATTTAACCATTGAAAAACAAAGGGAAGAAAGCACCTAAACGTTCCAACGATCCATGTTGGATAGCAAGCGCGTCCAAGGACTTTTCTCCTTCTCCTTGCCGCAACAACAAGGTTGGAATGATGTTGAAGGGTTGGTTATTTGGAGGAATGGATGGGAAGGGGTTTAGATATGTAGGAGAGGCAAGGAAAGGCTTGGAGAATGGTTAATTTCTGGATGATTTGAATGAGGTTGCTGCCATGGTATTTATAGGAAGAGGATGGACATGTTTAATGCAAAAATCTGGTGGAATGAAGTAGGTAAGGTATGGCAAGGTGGAGAATTGTTGGTGAGGGTAGGTTTTGAGTCATCCACTCACATGTCATGGTGAGTTAAGCATTGCATCATCCACTCAAATGTCATGGTGAGTTAAGCATTACATCATCCACTAAAAAATCTGGTGGAAGTAAAACAAAGGGAAGGCCACGGCATTGATGAATTTTATGGGGTATGCATGGTTTTGAGTGAAGTTTTGGCCAATCCTTCTAGAAATTTATCCCTTCTTGCAACTTGTATTTGTTTCACCAGATTTTTAGCATGTTCCTAGCCTCTTTTGTCTTCAAATTCGTCCATCCATCTTGCTCATATCATATGTAATCCATTCCAAGCTCAAAACTGCTCCAAAATGCACCAAAATGCACTTTCTTGCTACCTTAGCCCTTTGGACCTACAAACACACGAAAATGGCTTAAAGTACTAAAATAACAAAGAACTAATAACGTAAATGCAAGAAAACTAGTTAACTAAGTCGCATAAATATGCGTCTATCAGGAATCAGACGCAATTTATGTCCCCAGTTATGGCATCTGATTGGGA